ACACTGCTAACAGGATCATGCTGCTAACAGGACCACACTGCTAACAGAACAATGCTGCTAACAGGATCATTCTGCTAACAGGACTACACTGCTAACAGGATCATGCTGCTAACAGGACCACACTGCTAACAGAACAATGCTGCTAACAGGATCATTCTGCTAACAGGACTACACTGCTAACAGGATCATGCTGCTAACAGGACCACACTGCTAACAGAACAATGCTGCTAACAGGATCATTCTGCTAACAGGACTACACTGCTAACAGAACCACGCTGCTAACAGAACCATGCTGCTAACAGAACCATGCTGCTAACAGGACCAGTGTTTTTGTAAAAATATATATTTTTTTAATAGCTTTTAATTGTTGTCTGTACTTTATATGTTGTCTGTCCCAAACATCTCTTACGAACAATTAGACGTTCGGCACGTTCAGAACTTGATCAAAGTTCTTGTGAAGCTGAACGCTTCAGGTCTGTTTGGTAGTTCGGCTGAGAGGCCGCAGAGTTTCAGGGAACAAACACTTCGGTGTGTCTCTGGTGAACTCCCATCAGGAACCTCTTGGATGGAGAAGGTGTAAAGGTGCTGGCCCAGCGTGGGAGGATGAATCCATTGTTCTACACTGTGGAGTCGAGTGTTTCATGTGGACACTGTTTTCAGCGAAGGGCTAAAAGTATGCAGCTAAAATTTTAAATGGGAATCAAACTGACTGGTTCTTGCAGACAGCTGGATTTATTTTTCTCTTCAGGTATTTTCAAGGTTAGTTTTGGGTCAACGCTGAAACGTTTCTCTGTTTTACCTGGAAGCAGCACCAGCAATGAGACAGCAGTGAAAGTCCGATGATAAAACATTTTCAAAAGCTCTGGCAGGGGAAATGAGTAATCATGTGCAGCTGATGGAGACTGGAAACTGAACGAGGAGCAGCTGATCTCTGGGCGAGGTGATCTCATCGAGGTCAACCCGAGGTCAGAAGATCCTGACGTGGGAACAGAACGTAGGAGAGAAATCCCAGAGTCCCGTTAAAAGATAAATTACACCTGTTTTCATTTTAACTCCTTGAGTGCCCACACTTACTCTCCTTCGGCTGCTCGTGGTAGATTTACACGTGTCCCATATTCCTTCTACTTCTTACATATGGATTTAAGAAAACTCCTGATGTTTAGGGTCCTCCTGTTTCCACGTGTACTTTTCAATACTTTTTCATCTGAGTTGAATTTGGACAATCTGTTATTTTACAAAACATATTTTTATTTAATTAATGTTACTCTGCAGAGGTTTGACTTCACTTTGACATCAAAGAAGCATTTTTAAACTTTTTTATTGGTAGAGAAGATCATTTTCTTTGACTGTGACTAATCTCTGACAGTAATAAAGACATAAACATCCAAAGGGTGAATACGTTTTATAGGAACTGTAGATCAGACACTAACAGATCCTGTGGACTTTTTGTTTAAACCTTGGAGAACAAAGCAGCAGATGTTTGTTTGAACCAGACAAACATTCAAAAAGCTCGTATTCAGAATGAATCTGCCTTCTTGTCTCCTGTCGCAGAGCGAAGACACGGCGTTGTAAAGACGCTTCGTCGGTCCGTGCATGTCGTGAGCACGATAACTTGAACAATAAGTGAGGTACCAACGTCCACTTTGGTCTGAGGCTACGTTTAAGTGTAAGAAAGTTTCCCTTAGAAAATTGGTTGCATTTCAAAATCCAAGATGGCCACCATCAGTCCCTCGATTATTGCGGTTGTTTGGGACCACGCCCATCCGCGATAAGTGAAAAACTGCGAAGTAGGGATACAATAGTCCAAGTTCAAGTTCAGTAAACTTAGTCATGATGTGTCAGGCTGCAATCACA